AGACAACACCTTGCAGGAGGCAGCATTTATCTGCAAGGACATGGAAGTTAATAATTATGCTAACCTAGCTGATGGTTACCACAGTTTGAAATACTCTGATGAGAGAAGCAGAGTGCAAAGATCTTGAGTCCTAGTCTGAAAGTGTAGGAAAAATGGAAGTGAGGCGAGATAGAGACGATTCTGTTACAGGTATAAGGTTGACTCATACAACTAAGACTCCGCTCAGTAGTTAACACTCTAGGAATATTTTCTTTTCAAAATCAGACCTAAATGTCTGTAAGTGTAAAAAGTATTTGTCAAATAATTTTCATAATAAGGAAAAAGGAAAGATGATGCGTTAAGACTGAAGTATAAAAGAGAGAGAGAGAGACACACACATACACTAAATAGCTGCTATGACCGCCAGGACAGGAAAAGACAAAATCTGTCTGTCAAAATAATTTTTTTATTCTATCTTGTGGAAGTGTGGAATTCCCTAAATACATTTTGGATAACACTGTCAGAAAGAATTGTCAAGATACTATGGTAACACAGAGACAAATCATTGCCAGCAATGCAGATGCAGTCTGAGTTTCTAGCATGGTTCTGTATTAATCTATTTGTTCCTAAAAAATAAATAAATTTTAAAATCCCAACAAATAATAAAACAGATATTGAAGGAGAGCAGTGTATTAGTCACAGTCAGTCTGTTGTCCACTGGGATCGCTAGCAGATATGCTTATTCTCTCTATAAATGAAGTGTTTAGTACTTCACTGTTTTACCTGATGTTTGCTTGAATGGCCTGAAACAGGAAGTAGAAAGCACATTAATTACATCTGCAGATGACATAAAGCTAGAGAGCTACAGCATGTGGAAGAATAGCAAGCAATATAGGTTGATTTAGAGAGCAGCAATGTGCAGGAATTTACAAAACTAGGCTCACCTTGGAAACCTGATCCAATTTGTAGACATGATATATGTAAAACGAGCTTAGTGACATGTAAATGTTGAACTTTCATTCATGTAGGAAGCAAGGTGATATTCCACCCAGTTAGCTGCTTCTTTTGTTATCCTGGTCTTTAACCACTTCTAGTGAATCTTCCTGAAATAGCTTGCAGTTTCATTACTGTGGCTTTAGCAATGAAGGACAAATAACTGGACTGTTTCTTGATTTAGTGGCAAGCAAAAAATAAATAATATATGGGAAAAAAAAATAATCCTACTTTTAAAATTATTTTTCCTAAATAAATAAATTAAAAATTTAATATAATTCTGTCTTAATCAGTGGTGCAAGTTACATGTCTGTCCCAAATTCAGAATCCTCGCCTTTGAAATTGTGCGTCTTCTCCTTCAGCAGTTTGCTTTCCAATTTGGCATGCCAGCAGGGCTCCATAGCAAAACTGTCCCAAGGTTTTATTTTCTTTACCTTGTTTTATGAATGACTTGTGCTTTGCCTTGGTGTTTTGGAAATGAAATGGATTTGGCTGCCTTTATGGCTTATCAGTCTCTCAGCACCGGGCGTTTTACAGGGGCAATGCCAATCAGTTGTAATTTACTCAGATAACAGTGTTACTATTGTTAGTGCTAACTTTTCTGTTTGTTAAATAGGTGGTGTAGTAGCTCATTTTAAGCAATAATTTCATGTTGAAGAAACAGTCTAAGAAGGCTTATTGTTACACTCTTTATAACAATCTGTGTGGAGAAGGCAGAGCAAAACCACATATCCAGTGGTTCCATTCTGGCTTAATTAAGGCTGTACCTAAAATGTCCCATGTTTTTTCTGCACTGAGGTGCTGAAGACAGCTGCAATTTAACTCGGATAATTAATTCCTACAACTATGCTAAGTTAAGATTAGATGACTGGGGAGGGAAAGATACAGAATAATACCTGTTTTGCAGAAGCCTTATAATTTTTTTTATTTTCATTTTTTTCTTTTCAGTTGATGTGTGAGCACCTGCCTAATAAATTTAAGCCTTCTGGTGATGAGCTTGCTTTGCTTACATTTTGTGGGCCTCCTAGAAATGGTCCACAGATCACTGATGTGGACAAAACTACAGGGAAGTTTAATGTGAGAAAGTACAGAATAGTCAATTGCTTTGCTTGCAAAGGCTGAATTAAAGACTAAATTAAAGACTAATTGTTAAATGTGTTGGAATTTGAAGTAAACACGTAAGAAGATGGCCAATCAAATTCATTGTGTCCCTGCAGCAGTGTGGAAAATCTGTCCAGCATCTCCTCTCTGCTGGCTCACCCATTGGCAGTGGCTCATCAGGCTGGCATGAATTTCTTGTTCCTCTCTTTGCAGTGTGACCTCTTCCCCACTCTGTTTTGAGAATTCCTCAAAAAAAGTAGCACGCCCAAGAGCCTGGTTTGATTTTTTTCTGTGTATCAGCTTTTATAAAAAGAAGGACATTGTTTTTTTCTTGCAAAATTTCAGAAATTGTTTAATGGCAGAGATTCATGAAGATGGGGATGTGTTTTGCAGTTTCAGAACTCCATGTTGCAGAACTCAGTATTGGTTTATGTCACATGGTTTAGTAAGAGGCTGAACTGATGCTTATTTATAATTACCATCTGCTTTTGAAATGTTTGGCATTGTTTTGATCGTGAGTAGAACCAGGCTTTCAGCTGAAAACTATTGCTGTTCACTTTAACCTATTTTAATATTATTCATATTTTACTCTTTTGGGCTGAGTAAACTGTTATTTGAACAATGCTTATTTGTCCTGATTAAACATTTGCCTCTACCATATCAGCTGATTATAATAAAAGCATAAGAGAAAAAGTTGTATGCTTCTTGCTGTTTCCTCCACAGCATAAGAGGAAGATTGTGTTTGCTATTTATCTATCCTCCTGTGCTTCTCTATCTCAGCCACTAGTGTTCAAGTGTGGCATGAATTCTTTATCCATACAGTGTGGTGGCGGCTTGCAAGTGATGAAAAACAGTTTCCTCTGCACAAATGTCCATCTTTGTTAATGCTGTCAAACAACAAGTGTGATACCGAGGGAATACACATCACTCTGTGGGTTACTGATAATGTAATCTAATTTCCAAAAATAAATTAAATGCATCTTTTCATCTGTAGCCATCAGATAGATACATGTAAGCTGAAGGGAAAAAACATGTTAAGGGCCAATGCTTGTGAATTTGGAGGAAAAATCAGTGGTTAATTTGAAATTAAATCTTTGAGTTTATCTCATTTTCCGATAAATTAACCTTGCTGAAGAAGCTCATGATGGTATCATGTCATTGCAGACTTGACTTCCACAGACAAAATAGCTAACTTTATGGTCTCTTACTTGTTTCAAACAATGTTTTTAAAATATTTATAAGCGATTTTTACAAGTCCTTTTGCAGCAAAACTTTATGTATAGTAGTAGTAAACTGTTTAAAAAGTGCTAACAAACACTGCACATGGTTTTCACAACAGATGCAGATGTCTTTCATTGAGTTATTTTCAATGTCTTCCCAAGTAAAGTGAACTAAAGTGAGGAGAAAAAATTGATGAAATGGCATTTCTTATTTTGAAAGATGACGTGTCATGACACAGACTGAACTCTTCCCTAGCATGTACCTTTTATGTGGATTTGTTTTTTAATATGTTATTGCTTTAAGTTGAAAAGATGAGTTATAGGCTTTTTTTTTTTCACAAGGAAATAAAACAAGTTATGTCAATCCTTTTCATAATTGTAAGATTTTAGAGAGCACCCTTTCTTCCACGTCCTCCTCACCAGCTTGGTGTTTCTACAGCCATTTCCAATCTAAGTCGAGTAATTTTGAGGAGTTTTTCCTGATAGATCTGCTTGTACTGTAGCGTAAGCTGCCCAAAGTCTGGATTGTGTCAATTAACCCACTCTGCTTTTCTCTGGATCTACTCCCTCAATTGTTTTTTTGTCAAGCTGAGCAAATGGTGGTGCTTCTGGGTGTAGAGAGGCATCAGAGAAACCCCCTGTGTCTTTTGTAGGCTCTATCAGCTGCAGGAGTGTACCTTAAAGTAGTAGTACAGATTCCTACCCACTCCAGAGCACCAAACTCAGGTTGTTCACTTCTCATTTACTTCTATTAGAATAATGCACACAGTCCTTTTGAAGAAGCCCTAATACCCTTTCTCAGTTGCCTTGGACTGTCACACTGCGTATTTTGGTATCTCCATCCAGCTTTTCATGGTGATACCGTTTTATACGTATGGCTGAGCTATTCCTCCTTCAACATAATAGAAACAACAGTTTTCCTTTTTTTTTTTTTTCTGCTAGACTAGGCAGAACAAATCTGTTCTGACCTAATGTATATCCTATGAAAACATCTCCATTGCTGAGAAACACAATTCTTCATTATTTGTCCCATCCTTTAATTTTATTGCATTGTTCAGGCTACCTATTTAATTGAAGGACTCCCTGAATTATTAAGAACTTTTTGTCTGAGTCCTGAACTTGCAGTCATCCATCAGGAGCATGTAAGCATTATAGAAATACATTTGTAGTGCTACTTTAAATCAAAGTGAATTAATGTTCTTTTGTTTTATTAGTAATATTTATGTGATTGTATTGCTCCTGTGGGTACCAGAACTGGGCAGATGGCAAGAACACATTAACAATACAATTAGATTTTCAGTTCATATGATTCTACATTGCATCAAAAATTCCTTTTATGTAAAGTCTGTGGTTGCACCTTTATACTACTGACCTCCTCTGATCTGTACAAGAGTAGACTGGTGCTGTAACATGTCTTACTTGCAACATTTCTTTTCTTGCCCATTGGAAAGTATGTCAATGCTTATGTCCTGACCCTGTTGAATAACAGGTGACCTCTATGATGTATTAATTGCATAAATAATTGGTGTGTAGATTATTCCACATATTCCACAATTCTTCTTGTGACAGATTTATTCTGTCAGTTTGAGCTGGGGCACCGTTAAGATATTTCTTGTACTTACTAAGTCTGTACTCAAGTTTAAGGGAGCAAGATTTTGTCATACTCATAGGACAAATGACGTAACTAATTCTCTCCATGTGTCCTAGTTTAGACTTGGATCTCTGAAGCTACAGAAAGTTTCCAGTCCAGCAGAGGTGGTTAAGGACCTGATTGGTTATTGTCTGGACTGCATGGGAAGACTGCAGGCAAAAAATGAACATCTGCAAAAAGAGAATGAAAGGCTTTTGAGTGACTGGAGTGATGTGGAGAAGCGGTAAGTTTACAAATGCATTCACAGGTAATACCTGAGAAATTCACAAATACTATCAGTCCAGGCTTTCCTGATGAGCACCTTTGAAGTCATACACAGAAAGAAGCACATCAGTTTTTCTGTCCTTGACAAATGTTCTGAACCCAGTTATCGACAGCCCATGTAGTTGTGTATCTTCATATATCAAAGATACAACTGGTATCACAAACTGCAATTAAAGCTTTATGATGTAGCAAAAAAAAAAATAAAATTCACACCTTCTCTGTAGAATCTTCACTTTCTTCAGGAAGCCTTTTCCATTATTTCCTATAATTCTTAGAACTAGCAGTTTAAATTATTTCCATTTTTTAATGGGAAATAACTTGCCATTGCTTTAACAGGTTTGCCTTGTCAAACAGCCAGTCTTGGAAAACTGTGTTTTAATAGGAAAAAGTATGGTTATTTTGTGAAAGATTTTTATAATTGCCATTGCATTTGTGGTCTGAACTGCCTGCCACTGCTCTCTGTAGTGATCTGTGCTTGTTTCAGTTAACATAACACACTTAGCACATACAAGTCAAGGATTTATCTTGTTTTTCTATAGCTTTATCTGAAAAAAACACATTTAGGAAGATTAGTGAAAGAATGTAGCTAATTGGCGTTAATTTACCTTGAAAAAAGAGATCTAACTTTTGGGAGGAGTTAGCTTTGTTTCCCTCTCATTAAAATGTGGAACAGTTTCTCTTGAAAATCTCCCTGACAAGCATATGGCCTTCCTAAGTAGTGTTTTACTGCCTAACAGTTTATTGAACAATAGCGTATTGTATAACCCGTATGCTGTACTGCATTACACGCTAATATGTAACAGGCATTAGCGTTTGCATCAATTTCCATGGTGGTGTAGCACTTTTTAAAGAGTAACCCCAAAGAAAAAAACAAATTCATAGTTGCCTCACAGCTTCTGCTCTCTGGAGCAGCCTATTCGAACTTCAAAAGTGGGTGGTTTTCTTCAGTATGTTTACACTCTGAATAGCTGAAACATGGTTTTTCAAAATAAATACTGGAAGTTGTGTGGTCACCAAACTTTGGCCATGTCTACTATATGAAGAAGAAAAATAATTTTCAAGCCGCCAATGTTGTTTTTCTGGGTTTGGGTTTCTGGGTTTTTGGTTTGGTTTGGTTTTTTGCCTTTTTTTTTTTTTTTTTTTTTTT